CCATTCTGTTGGTTGCCTGTTTGCTCTAATGATTGTGTCTTTTGCTGTGCAGCTCTTTAGTTTAACTCAATCCCATTTGTCAATTTTGGCTTTTGTTGCCAATGCTTTTGGTGTTTTAGTCATGAAGTCCTTGCCTATGCCTATGTCCTGAATGGCATTGCCTAGGTTTTCTTCTAGGGTTTCTATGGTGTTAGGTCTTATGTTTAAATCTTTAATCCATCTGGAGTTAATTTTTGTATAAGGTGTAAGGAAGGGATCCAGTTTCAGCTTTCTGCATATGGCTAGCCAGTTTTCCCAACACCATTTATTAAGTAGGGAATCCTTTCCCTATTGCTTGTTTTTGTCAGGTTTGTCAAAGATTAGATACCATCTCACGTCAGTTAGAATGGTGATCATTAAAAAGTCAGGAGACAACATGCTGGAGAGGATGTGGAGAAATAGGAACTTTTTACGCTGTTGGTAGGAGTGCAAATTAGTTCAACCATTGTGGAAGACAGTGTGGGGATTCCTCAAGGACCTAGAACTAGAAATACCATTTGACACAGCAATCCCATTACTGGGTTTATACCCAAAGGCTTATAAATAATTCTATTATAAAGACACATGCACATGTATGTTTATTGCAGTACTATTCACAATAGCAAAGACTTGGAACCAACCCAAATGCCCATCAATGATAGACCGAAGAAAGAAAATGTAGCACATATACACCATGGAATACTATGCAGCCATAAAAAAGGATGAGTTAATGTCCTTTGCAGGGACATGGATGAAGCTGGAAACCACCATTCTCAGCGAACTGGCACAAGAACAGAAAACCAAACACCGCATGTTCTCACTCATAAGTGGGTATTGGACAATGAGAACACATGGACACAGGGAGGGGAACATCATACAGTGGGGTCTGTCAGGGGTTGGGGGACTTGGGGAGGGATAGCAGGAGGGTAGGGCACTAGGGGAAGGAAAACATTAGGGGAAATACCTAATGTAGATGATGGGCTGATGGATGCAGCAAACCACCATGGCACGTGTATACCTATGTAACAAACCTGCACATTCTGCACATGTACCCCAGAACTTAAAGCACACACACAAAAAAACAATAAAGTCCACAAGAAGAAAGAGTATTTCTGGAAAAAGTAAAACAAGAAGTCTTGGGTCATCAGGAAAAAAGGAGGAAAAATAGAAAGAGTAAAAATATCAGCAAATACTGTAGACTTTCTTCTCTAGAGATTTCTAAATCATTTTTTGATGATGGAAGAAAAAATATAACAGTGTCTGATAGGGTTATGAAAGCGTATGGAAGCAGGAAATGTCTAAGACAATTACATTATTGTTGGGAGAAAGAGAAAGGAAATAAACATGGGTGTGTGTGACTGTGAAGGAATAGTGTAATCTTTGTGGGAGGTAATAGCTCTGTATTTTGCCGAATCACTTACAGAAATCTACACAAGTGATAAAATGACATGGAACTACACGTGTACACACACACACACATTTGCAAACTAGTGCATGTACATGCCTGTCCCTCTAATACGCTGTACTGTATCTCTGTCAATTCCTGATTTTGATATTGTATAATACTTATATAAGGTGGAACCATGGAAGAAACTGTGGTGAAGGGTATACAAGACCTCTCAGTACAATATTTCAAATCTATAATTTAGATAATACTTATGGACTGTCAATCAATAATTATATTAAAATAAAATGAATTGTTAATAGATAAACAAATTTTGGTGCAGCCATACAGTAGACTACTACCCAGTAACAACGTGGATGAATCTTACATGCATCGTGCTAAGCGGAAAAAGGCATACACAAAAGTTTTTGTACTGTAGGATTTCATTTCTACAATGAAAATAGAAAATGCAAAACCATAGGGAAATAAATATATCAGAGGATTCCCGGGGGGTAGGAAGCAGATATTCACTAGCAGTGGGAAATTTCGAGGTGATGAAGGTTTCGTATATCTTTTCTTAAATTAAAAACTAATTTAGAGATAAAGTCTCATTATGTTGTCCAGGCTGGAGTGCAGTGGCTATTCACAGGCGTGATTACAGTGCACTGCAGCCTGGAACTCCTGGGCTCAAGTGTTCCTTCTGCCTCACTCTCCCTAGTAGCTGGGACTCCAGGCATGCCATGCTCAGCCAAAGTGTTACAAATCTTGACGACAATGGTTACATGACCGTATGCATTTAAAAAAATTTACATTTACGTTTTTAAAACGTATAAAACTGTGCAAATTTTACCTCTACACACTCAGTTTAATAAAAATGAAAAGAAAGTATCATGAAATTCTCAACTACACCCACAATAATTACGTATGTTGTTTTTCATGTTTTACCATAAAAAATCATGTGGTCATAAACACCCATGAGCAAAATAACATTGTTTCTCCAGGATCTTTGTATTACTTCTGTAGACTGCACTCCCAGAAGCTGTATTAGAGATGGATGGAGGAGAGTAGAGGAATAAATGTTAGGCACAATTTTACAGGCATATTTGCATATGCAGATATGCAAAATTACTTTCCAGAAGTATATTTTCTTTTAGCTAGTTTATAATGCCACTATGATTTTGGAAGTCCTTCTTTCCACACCCTTGTGGGCAGTAGAACTTTGATTGCTACTGTTGGTTGCTTCCACTTGGCTCAGATACCTCTTCCTGATAATTGAAGGGTTTGCATTTATTTGAGACTTTGTAATTATGGCATATAGGGTTAGCAGAGCAGAAATGAACCCACGCTATTTACAGTTTACTAAACATCACCTTGAACATTCACACACATGTATGACAAGCTACAAACACTCTTCATTAATAACTAGAGTGTGGGTCTGGTAATTATTATCAATTTTATTTTCCAGAATATTGGTGATGTCTACAGACAGGAGAATTAGTGGGGTATCTTATTTTGGTTTTGGAGTGGGTCCCCTTCTTTTAATTTTTATTCTTTGTCCTCTATCTCTCTGTTATTTTCACATTGTCTCCTTGTCCCATCCAATTTTGTCTAGCATTCCACTTTACATTTAAATGATCTCTTGATTTTGGTTTGGGTTAATTCTCACTCTGTCATAAATGTGATTTGATCTGTCACAAACTGCTCAAAATACACATTTTAAAATCTTGTGTCTTCATCTAATACTTTTCTACATTTGCAATGATATCTTTTTCTATTTTCTATTGTTGAGTACCTGTGGCACTTTACTCCAAGGAGATGTAGCGTTCTCTAACGTTTTTACTGCAAAATATGCCCGTTGTAGTAGATGCATTTTTGAGGTGCTTTGTCTTTGCTCTGCGATGATGGGCTGTGTTTTATAGCTCCTCCTGGCTTTTGCTTGAATATTAATAATTCTGGGGTAAGCATCTCCCAAAAAGAATTATTCCCTACTCAAGAGAATCCTTCTACTCCCTTTTTGTTTCCTCCCTTGCCCTAAAACATGAGTATTTTTTTCACTTGCTTTACCTCATTTAACTTTTAGATTATTCTCAGAAGGAGATTCTAACACTTCCATTTTGCATGTAAGACAGCCAGATGGGAAGGGTCCCCAGAGAAACTCCAACCAGCTTGCACACCGAGAAGAATGCACACTGGGGTGGAGCCATAGAAGCTCTCACCATTTGCAGTGGGAAGAGCCTGGCCCTTCCTCTTCCTGGGTGGTAGCTGGGATTCAATCCGTAGTAGAAAGTATATTGAGTAAGCTGCTTGTTTCCAGCAAGGCTTGGGATGATTTAGAAACTGTTAAATCAATGCAGTAAATATGAATTAAACATTTACAGTTGTATTAAATATTCGAAAGATACAAACCGAAATAGTCTATCAAGTAATTGTACATATTTGTGCATTTACAAAATGCATATTCATGAGAGCTATGTAAATATGTATTTAGTAATTTCCTCTTTGATGTGAAGCATCATGGCTGAACTACAGATGGTAAGTTTCTTGAATCTAATTATGAAAATACCACAGTAAACCATTCTGACATTGTCCTTAGAAAAAGATCATTGTATGGCCATTATAAGTTTAGCGTTCTTGGAACTGAGGAGAAAAAGTTCTAGAGCATGTCTGTTTTTGTGGCAGGCATACAGGGAAAAAGGCAGTTATTTCTAAGATAAGTGGCTCTCATACTTTTCCCACCAAGGGTCACACAGGGAGGAAGTTCATACATAGGACATTCTAGAGTCCTGTGGCCTCTGTATTCCAGCTACAGTGTTACCCTTTCTCTCCCAATCAGGAAAGGATATTGGGAGGCTAGGGAGAATAATATTTGGGTTAATATTTAATTCATTCTAATTTATTCAAAAACATGTCTAATGTCTATTAATACTACCATGACTGGCAACCCCTCACAACTGCCTATGACAATTCTTGTGGGTCCTTCTGCCACATCTAAGTACTCTCTGGATGAGGAGATGGTGAGAGAATACACATTCTGATTTTTGACTTTGCGTGAAGATCTTATGTGAAAATCTTTCTGGGAATTAGATTTTTCTAAAGGGATCTCTATTTCCTAAGGTCCTGATACTCTTACTAGCGTTTGCTAATTAATTCTGTGAGACCCAAATGTATGCAGGGCCTGGACACTTTATCTCAGACTAGGTCTCTTCCTGAACCCTCTGCTATTTCCCAAATATTGTCACAGGTGGACTGGGTAGCTAGACTCGTATTTGTGTCTGCCTTGAAAACTCAGGATGACTTTTGATGCAGACTGCACATGAACTGCCATTGCTTGGATCGCCTCTTTGGAAGACTAAGAGAACTTGACTGTGTGCAAGTCAGCAGTAAAGACTGACTACTGGATTAGGTGGGCCATGTGGTTATCAGCTTGTGGCGGCCTTTTGGCATCTTCTGGTCTCACTTAGAGTAAAAGCCAAAGCCCTCATTGTGACCTTCAAGGCTCTTTGTGATTCGTGCCCCCAGGTCTCTGACTTCACACCTCTAACTAGTCCCCCTCACTTGCTTAGCCTCCTTCCTCAATGGCCTCTCTGCTGGCTCCTTAAACCACCCCAGGCCCTTTGCACCTGCTATTCCCTCTGTCCAGCATGCTCTGCCCCAGACAGTTGCAGTGCTAACATCTTACTTCCTTCAGGTTTTACTCAGAAATTACTTTCTCAGTGGGGTCTTCCATGATCATCCTATTTAAGGTTTCAACTACTTTGCCAGCATTTCACTTTCCCTCCCTTGATCTTTTCTTCCAAGCACTCACTGACCTCTAACACACTGTATCTTTTACTTATTTATCTTGTTCAGTTTCTGGCTGCCTCACCACAGTGTACATTCCACAAGGATAGAGATTTTGTCTGTTTTGTTGATTACTGTAGCCCTGGCATCTTGAGCAGTGCCTGCCACGTGGTGGAATTAAATAAATATTTACTGAATGGATGAGTGGCTTCATGCTTAAAAGCGAGAAGAGAGACCTTCATAGAGAAGTAGGAAAATCAAACGTTGCACAGATAAAGGGCCATGGAGAGAGAGAGAGAGAGAGGTGAGATGCTGACAGATTTTTTGAAGATGTTCCAGTTCCCACTTCTCATCTTTTCTAGACCAGAATTTTACTTCCTATCCATGGTCTAACCCTAAAAATTTTATTTTCTTAAGTTACTTTAGTTGGGTTTGTCTTTATTGCTACCAAAAATCTCTAAGCAAAAAAAAAAAAAAAAAAAAAAGTCAAACTAGAAGATGATAACTCTTTTCTCAACACCCAGGGTGTCTTTGGAGAATGAAGTTCTCATGCAGCATACAGATTTGTGGGTTCTCTTCCCTGTTTCCTTTCTTGGATAACTAGGTCACAGACAGCTGGTGTTTCCCATGTGGCAAATGGAGCACACACAGAAATCCCCGCCTCCTCTCTCTTTGCTTTTCAAGCCCTGCTGAATGCCTCGTAATGATTTCATCTGGTTGGAGGTCTGCTGGCTTTTCCACTCTAGTAGAAGAAGGTGGTGGCGCCGGGGGCTGATGCATGCTCTGACTACTGACTTGAAACATGCTTTGATGAATTAGTGCAACTTGGCCAGCCATTTACTTTAAATTTTACCCTTGATTCTTCCTCTAGCAAACAATTAAGGAGCAGCAGTGGCTTCCTGCAGGGGAGACGAATGCCTTCTGTCCTCTGTGGAAACAGCCTGGCATTCTTCCAACTGATGAATGGCATGGACCAGGAGCACCAGTTATTTTCAGCTTCTGAGCATCCAAATAAATAAACATACAAATGCGTAACATAAAATAAATTCAAATTACAAATGAGAAAAGCAATCCAGGTAACTGACAGTTTCTGACTTGATGTGGAGGCTGGGAAATGCATCCTTGAACCTTGCAATGCAGTGAGCCAAGGAGCGATGAGAGGCCACATGAATAACTGGGCCAGTGACAAGACACATGTCTTCCTCCTTGCTGGGTGAGTAGCCCAGTCCAACCCCAAAAGCTCCTGAGTAAGAGGAAAATGTCTCTTTAACAGTATTAAGGGACAATTTATTATGTGTATCCTTCCAGGGAAGCACAATGTCAGTGCAGGCCTATTGCATTTGCATTATTTCCAGACAACAGCAGCAGCAGAAAGGGACACTGATTTATTTTAGAGCAAGCACAGGTGAATTTAATGTCTGTTGGGACTGAGCCAGGGAGAACTTAACCCATTCTGAGTCTTTCCAGGGCTTTAGGGGGAACCATCAGTTTTTGGAATGGTTCTATCGGCTTCTTTGGTCAAATTCAGTTTTCCTGAGCCTGTGCTTCTCAATTGCTTGGTAATAAAAGCTCTTACAGGGTGGAAGGGAGAGAAAAAATTATTTTTTATGTCCTGGCCCTGCTAATTCCTTTCTGTACAACCTGGGCAAATAATTTAATCCTTTTGAGACTCAGTTTTCTCTTTTGAAAAATGGATGTAATCCACATGTTCTCACTCATAGGCAGGGGTTGAACAATGAGAACACATGAACACAGAGAGGGGCGCATCACACACTGGGGTCTGTTGTGGGGGAGGGGACAGTGGAAAGTGGGGAGGGTAGGGAGTGATAACATGGGGAGACATGCCAGATATAGGTGACAGGGGGATGGAGGCAGTAAACCACCTTGCCATGTATGTACCTATGCAATAAACCTGCATGATCTGCACATGTACCTCAGAACCTAAAGTACAATAAAAAAAAGAAAAGAAAAATGGGTGTAATAATGATATCCTGCAGGATTTTAATGAGAATCAACCAAACAAATGTGTTATTGAGTGACTGGTGAATTGCATAAATAACATTGTTTTGGGGTGACATCAATTTGGGATTCCTGGGGCACAAACAGAAGTTTTGGTATTATCTTCAGGTATGTTGGCTTGGCTAGCTTAGCTAGCAGAGAGCTTTTTTTTTCAGAAGAATCATTCAGTGGGAGATAATAACAGTTACTCTTTGAATTCTGGAATGAGAGAGTTATGAAACTCAAAAGGTCATGGTAGACAGTGTCTTGGAGACATCTCTTCCAAACTTTGTTTTGGCAGATGGAAAAACGGAGGCTCAGGGAAGCAAAGTAGGCTGTAAACATCTTGGAGGATGAGGTCAATCTTAATTATCTTTGCTTGTTGTTTCTTATCAGTATACACAAAATGCCCTGCGCCCGGTGAATGCTCAATAGTGGAAGTGACAGAATTCCATCACTATTAAACACAACCAGTGTTGCGGTTGACAGTTGTAGGTTGGAATATTTTCTCTTCTGATTCAGATTAGATGAGAATTTGATATTATTTTAATACTAAACCTCGCAAGGAATGTGTTTACTGGTCAACTGAGGCATCTCAAAAAGGGTCATGACCTCGATAAAGCCAGAAACATCCTGGCTTTATCCTCTAGCTTCAACTTCTGACAGAAACTCCTTGAAGGCTTAAAGAACAATTTCTTTTGTTAAACCACCATACGGTTTTAGTTTACACAGTGGGACACATTTACAAAATGTTGCCCAATACATTACCTTATTTAATTCTCCTAATGATCTAGTGAAGTACGCATTATTATTTCCATTTCTCAGAATAGGAAATGGAGGCTCTGAGACTCTGAATGGTGACCCAATGATGTAGAAGCACTGTCAGCACTGGAACTTGAACCCAGAACTCTTTTTTTTTTTCAGCGTATTTCATTAATACGACATTGTAAAGTACCAAGTAGATATCCCTTTCATCTGTTTCTTCCTTCCTCCTTTTGCTCTCCCCTTCCCTCCCTTGTTCGTCACTAGGCACTGAAGCAGGTGAAAAATGAATATAGCAGTTCCTGTCTTTGAAGAGTTTGCAGCCTCCTGCAGAGGATTTACAGGTAAGAAGGTAATTCTAAAAGCAGAGGATCTTTATTACGCACTAACCCTGATTGAGCACAGCCCAAAGGGGTTAACAGACCTGCTTGGAAGATGGGAAAGAGAGATAAACCACTGTCTAAGATATAGTTGCTGCTAGAAAAAGAAATTGCTGAAATCCCTAAACACCCCTTTCAAAATATCTAGACTTTCAAAGCCATGCCTTTCCTTCTTCCCTCTCTTAGATGTGATGAATGAGAGATGTGTGTGTGACACATCCACCTGGAATCTGCAAATCACTGATCCTTTAAAACCTACTTTTGTAAATACCAATAAAACAAGTCTTGACACTTGTTCCTGAGTTCAGGGAATTCATTCAACCTGGAGCCCTGGAGGAGGGAAGCTACTCCCTAGGAACTTTTCCCCTTTCAAATATCTCACCTGGAACTGAAACTTGTCTCTCACTCTTCCCTTTTTCTGCCTTTCTTTGATTCACACTCTGTAATCCTCCCTGGTTATTCTCCTTTGTCTGCCTTCACTTTGTCTAAGCAACGGAATGGTTTAGGTGTGCCAAATGAATGATACCACAAAGTGCTGAAGTCTGGGAATAACGCCTCATGGACACTGCATAACTATTTGTTTAATGAATACATGAGTGGGTGAATAAATGAATGAATAACGGCCCAGTTCAAATACTGCCTCTGACATTTACCAGTTGCCCAACTTTAAGACAGATATTTAACATGCTCGTGCCTCAATTTCTCGTCCTTCCCTATTGTGTATAAGAGATTATAAAAATGTATATACAAGCATCCCTTGAGATATTGTGGGTTTGGCTACAGACCACTGCAATGAAGCAAATCTTGCCGTAAAGCAAGTCACATGAAGTTTTTGGTTTTCCAGTGCATATAAAAGTTATGTTTACATTACTGTAGTCTACTGTGTGTGAAATAGCATTATGTCTAAAACATGTACACATCTTATTTTATTTTTTAAATTTTTTGAGACTGAGTCTCACTCTATCACCCAGGCTGGAGTTCAGGGGCACAATCTTGGCTCATTGCAACCTCCACCTCCCAGGTTCAAGTGATTCTCTTGCTTCAGCCTCCCAAGTAGCTGAGATTACAGAGGTGCTTGCCACCATGCCCAGCTAATTTTGTGTATTTATTTATCTATTTTTATAGAGATGGGGTTTCACCATGTTGGTCAGGCTGGTCTTGAACTCCTGACCTCAGGTGATCCACCCACCTCGGCCTCCCAAAGTGCTGGGATTACAGGCTTGAGCCACTATGCCCGGCCTCCAGCTAATTTTTTAAAACATTTTTTTTTTTTTTTAGTTGAGACAGGGTTTCACCATGTTGGTTGGGCTGATCTTGAACTCTTGACCTCAAGTGATCCACCTGTCTTGGCCTTCCAATGTGCTGGGATTACAGTGTGAGCCACTGCACCCATTCTTTTATATATATATATATATAATAAATGTAATATATAATATATTTTTAATTGCATTTTAGGTTCTGGGGTACATGTAAAGAACATGCAGGATTGTTGCACAGGTACATATATGGCGATGTTGTTTGCTGCCTCCATCCCCATCACATATATCTGGCATTTCTCCTCATGTTATTCCTTCCCAACTCCCTACCCCCCAATGTCCCTCCCCTAGGCCCCCCTCACAGACCTCAGTGTATGATGCTCCCCTCCCTGTGTCCATGTGTTCTCACTGTTCAACACCCGCCTATAAGTGAGAACATGTGGTGTTTGATTTTCTGTTCTTGTGTCAGTTTGCTGAGAATGATGGTTTCCAGGTTCATCCATGTCCCTACAAAGGACACGAACTCATCATTTTTTGTGGCTGCATAGTATTCCATGGTGTATATGTGCCACATTTTCCCTGTCAAGTCTATCATCAATGGGCATTTGGGTTGGTTCCAAGTCTTCGCTATTGTAAAGAGTGCTGCAATGAACATACTTGTGCATGTGTCCTTATAATAGAAAGATTTATCATCCTTTGGATATATATCCAGTAATGGGATATATACCCGATAATGGATCAAATGGAATTTCTATTTCTAGGTCCTTGAGGAATCGCCACACTGTCTTCCACAATGGTTGAACTAATTTTCTTTCCCACCAACAGTGTAAAAGTGTTCCCATTTCCCCACATCCTCTCCAGTATCTGTTGTCTTCAGATTTTTTAATGATCGCCATTCTAACTGGTGTGACATGGTATCTCAATGTGGTTTTGATTTGCATTTCTCTAATGACCAGTGATGATGAGCATTTTTTTGTATGTTTGTTGGCCTCATATATGTCTTCTTTTGAAAAGTGTCTGTTCATATCCTTTAGCCACTTTTGAATGGGTTTGTTTGTTTTTTTCTTGTAAATCTGTTTTAGTTCTTTGTAGATTTTAGATATAAGTCCTTTCATTCTGTTGGTTGCTGGTTCACTCTAATGACTGTTTCTTTTGCTGTGCAGAAGCTCTGGAGTTTAATTAGATCCCATTTGTCTATTTTGACTTTTGTTCTAATGCTTTTTGTGTTTTAGTCATGAAGTCCTTGCCTATGCCTATGTCCTGAATGGTTTTGCCTAGGTTTTCTTCTAAGGTTTTTATGGTGTTAGGTCTTATGTTTAAGTCTTTAATTCATCTGGAGTTAATTTTAGTGTAAAGTGTCAGGAAGGGGTCCAGTTTCTGCTTTCTGCACATGACTAGCCAGTTTTCCCAACACCACTTATTAAACAGGAAATCCTATCCCCATTGCTTGCTTTTTTCTGGTTTGTCAAAGATCAGATGGTTGTAGATATGTGGCGTTGCCTCTGAGACCTCTCTTCTGTTCCATTGCTCTATATGTCTGTTTTGGTACCAGTACCATGCTGTTTTGATTACTATAGCTTTATAGTATAGTTTGAAGAAAAATATGGAATGCTTCATGAATTTGTGTGTCATCCTTGCACAGGGGCCATGCTAATCTTCTTTGTATCATTCCAATTTTTAGTATATGTGCTGCAAAAGCGAGCATGGGAGGAATGTTCTTGAAGGCTGAGGAGGCTTGAGAGGATGGTCTTTTGTTAGCTGTGAGGAGTTTAGGATTTAAATACACATAGGAAAGGATTCAGGAGAGGGCATTTCAGGCAGTAATACTAGGGTAAAGGAGTGAGATCTGGAATTTTCAGAAGGTAAGAGAGACAGAATGAAAAGCGAGGAGTCAGAAAATGTAGTAGAAAGAGGTGAGGAGATGTGGGGAATGTGGATGGTCAAATGGGTTTGTCAAACTAAATTGTTGATTATGCACTGCATGGCCATTATGTGCTGCTGATACCAAATATGACACAGACTATGTACCCCAGAAGGGAGCCTGGTATTCTACATTGTAGGGGTGACAGCAGAAGGGCATTTCACATGCCATTAGCACAGAGGAAGTAGTATGCCTGAGTATCCACTTAGACGTCCAGAGACCTCACAGTGAAGGCCTGGGCTCTCCAAGGATTTATTCATTCTCTTTCACTTATTTGCGAACTAGCTTATTCACTCAGTTAACATATATTCTTGAGCACTTGTTTATTTGCTAAGTGTTGATGTGGGTGCTAGAGACAAGGAAAACACAATCCTTGGGCATAAGGTCAACAGGAGATCTCCCTGTGTTGATAGAGAGAAGCCCTGTTCCAGGCAGAGAGAATGACGTGACAGAAAACCAAACCAAACCAAACCATGGAGCACTTAAAAGCAAGAATGGGCTTTCCACTGTAGCTCAACAGGAAAGGGATGAATGGTTTGTGGTCCAAGAGTCACCTGGGGGTTGACGCCATCATCATGTGGCTGACATGTGAAGGAGATGGAAGATACTAAACAGGAGAGGAGCATGACCAGATTTATAGTTTAGTATGAGACCACTGGTAGCAGGTGGAATGGAGTGGGCTGAGTGAGCCCTCTTAGAGAAATACTGAAGGAGAGAGTGAAGAGCTCCTCATGGAGGCAAAGGAACAGTTGGAGCCAGATAATGAGATGAAAATATGTTTCTTGAGGCAGGTTACTCCCTGCAGTGAGTCAGGGGTCAAGGAGGAAGCACCAGCTACTTGTCAGAGGGTGGAGAGGGGCAATGAGACCCTAAATGCAGGAAGAGAGGGCCTGAGGGTGAGGAGGCAAACGTTTCCTTCACAATGGCAGGGACCATAATTGTGGAGGAAAGACAGATGATCAATTTCTGGCAGGTGCCAACCGCAGCAATTCCCCTCTGCAGGGACTCACTCTAGCCCTCTGGGAATAAGGAGTGGGTTTATTGGCATCAGTTCCATGCTTTTGCAGTGGGAAAACTATGATATCTGAGGATGAGTCAACCAGTCCAACCAAGACTGATTGAAAACAACTTTGATGGAAAAGGCTGGGAAAAAACAAAAATCAAATCCCTAAGAAATGCATGTGTAAAACAAAACCAATGAACCTCTTGATTCATTGCAGTTCTTGTGAAGTCTCTTCTATCCAGCTAGTGTCTTCCCATGCCAGGGGAAGCAGCATGAGGAAAAGTCAACATAACAAATTTTGCAAAGTCTCTGCTCTTATTTAAATTTCTTTTCCTCTCAGATTTTCCCATACCCCATTCTGAAGAACGTAGGCAGAAATCCCCACCCCCTCCAGCAAATTCTTTTCTATCAAGGCATTTCTGTTGCTTCTTTTTCGTAGCACCTTTTACCTACCTCCCCATGACACTTCTTCAATTGAAGTCCCATCATCATGATCATCATCATTATTATTTTTACATGGAGGCAGAACTATTATTTCCCTTTAGTCATTTCATCATCTAGTATAGTGTCTGGCTTGCAATTCAGCAAATGAATGTTTGCTGAACCAACTAAATTGTCAGGGGCAGGTAATATGTGTTCTAGAATCTTGTGCTACCTGACTTTGCAAAGGAGACTCATGAAGACCAGGAGACAAGAGGGTTTTAAGCAAAAACACTCCTGTGCACTCCTTTTATCTGCACTGCCCACTCTGCATGCTTAAAAATAATTTGTTTTAGATGAAGCTGCATGTGG